AATATGTTTAGGAGAAAATCTCCCCATAAACAAGACTCTCTAAATGACTACATTGTGGATGTTGTTGTGTTGTTGATATGAGAGGGGTATTCAATTTATAGAGTTACAAATTTTTCCTCTAAGGAAAGAATAAACCAAATATGGAAGATAATTATATTTTCCTTTCAGGAAAGTAAAAACATTTATGGTAATGTTTTGTCTTTTCTTTTAGGAAAAAATAAACTTCAAATAAGGTAAGAAAATTAGGGCAAAACCAGTAACAAATCTCCCCTTTTGATTAGATTTTCTCGACAAAATATGATTCGCCTTCTTCATATGTTTGATAATCTTGTTCTTCACAAAATCTCCATTACTGATGTTTGCCATGGGTAAAAATAAGGTTTAAAATATATGGGTTAAAAATGGTTTTAAAATATTTTGTTTTTATTTTTAAAATTGCAGCAACAGGAATGTTGAAAATATGGTTTAAAACTTGTTTTCCACATGTAGCTAGACAAAAATCTTCATTATCATCAAATTGATTACAAATTGATTTGAAACCATCTTGAGCATGTCTTCAACCTCATTGAACCATAGGACCATGGAATCGTTGGACCATGTGTTCTGATACCACTTTTTGGGATATGAAAGTGATTAGAGCATCATGCAGAAGCTTACAATTGCAAATTATATGATTGACAAATCAGACGACAAACTAAGGAAAGAATAAACAAAATATGGAAGATAATTATATTGTCCTTTCAGGAAAAGTAAAAACATTTATGGTAATGATTTGTCTTTTCTTTTAGGAAAAAATAAACTTAAAATAAGGTAAGAAAATCAGGGCAAAACCCTAACACTTGTGACTAATAATACTTCATCTGTCCCTAATTACTTAACTACTTTTTCATTTTTAATTGTCTCTTTTTACTTGTTCATTTCAAGTTTTTAACAAATCAAGAAAGGACAATTTTTTTTTTACATATTATACCCTCAATTAATTAATGAACTTCTTGAAAATTTTAAATTTTTAATTCATCCGCCTCATAATTAATATGAGTAAATGATAAACTCACTATGCCAATCATTGCTTTCTTAATAGGTGTGTCAATTTAAAAATAGATAAATAATTATGAACGGAGGGAGTAATATATGAGAAAATAAATAGTAGTACAAATACTTTTCATTTTTTACAAATAAAAATGATGATATGTAACTTCTTTTCTTTCTTTGTATATTAGGTATGAATTTTTATTTCTAAAAATGATATTACATACCTTTTCTTACGTGACTTTTTAAAAATTATTTTCTACATTAATAATAATTGATTTATTTCACTAATTCTAAGATTGATATGATTAAATTAAATTATACCTTGGTATGTTATATTATTTATCGTAATTTTAAGTCATTCCAAGTTCTAATTGAAGACTATTGGTATAATAGTTTTGAAAGAAAGCCGTAGAACAAATATTTAGTTAAAAAATTAATGCAAGTAATTAAACTTCATATAAAACATAAAATTGTCATCTAAAATAGTCAAATTCATCTCATAAACTATAATTTAAATATTTGTTTAAGTCTTTACAATTACGAGCATTTGTCCTGAACTTTAAATAAAGGAAAAAAGTGTCCTATTTCAAATAATTCAAAGGTAAAATTAGATCATTTTTTCTTATTTTGGAACAATTGTTGATTAAAAAATCTACCTTTTCTTAGCTATTTTCTTAGTTGGTGTGCATATTTGAGCAAAAAAAAAAAAAAAACATAACGATGAAGATATTTTTGAACAAAAAACATAACGAAAGATAAAACTAACTCATTATAAACAATTCAAAAGTATGTTTGGCATTTTTACCTATCTTAAATGAAAATATTGTAAACACTAGTGTCTAATCCATTAGTATTTAATTATATATATTTGTCTTGATGATGGGTATAATGATGCGACAAATTTAGGGAAAGATGTCATAGTGTATGTTATTTGTAACTTTGGATTGACATGACTCACGACAAAGTTAATGTACACTAAATTGGATATATGGAGACAAATCGTGAAGTCTAAAGGGTTTAAGTCAAACAGGGCCAACACATAATATATGGAGTGCAAGTTAAGTGACGTAACACATAAGGTTGTTGTGGTGAGGCTTGATACTTAATTATACCATCCAAAAGAAAGGAATTTGTAAGTATATTGGGTTTATATCAAAGGTAATATGGAGATTAATGACAAAATGAAGGCTCATATCCGAATTTTGTCCGAGAAAAAGGTGTCAAAAAAACTTAAAAGCAAGTTTTACAAAGTGATGCTTAGACATACTATATTGAATGGAACGGAGTGCTGACCAGTCGAACTCTTTTCAGAACATGAAAGTTGTGAAAATAAGGAAGATGAGATAGACGTACAATAGGAGAAATAAGACAAGAAATGAAGATATCCAAGATAAAGTGGGAATGGACTTGGTGCACAAAAAAATATAGTAGATTAGACTAAAATGGTTAAGACATGTGAAGAGGAGATGCATGAATTTCCTAGTGTGAGTACTGAGGAGAGGTGACACATGTTCAACTTACAAAGGACATGACCTTGGATAGAAGAATATAGAGAATACAAATCACGATAAAAGACTGATAGTCAATTTGTATTGTCTCGTTTATTCTTCCATACTACTAGTTGTAGTATTACTCTTGTAGTTTCTTATTTCTTCGATTACCATTAGTTTTTTTTAACATCAATTATCGTATTATCTTATTATAGTTAATGTTTTTTTTCAGAATATTTTGTCATGCCTGTATGTTTAGTATATTTCCTTAATTGGTTTCTTTGCTCATGTTAAGTCAATGGTCTATAAAAACATCTCTAATTTTTACTTCCAAAGGTAGGGGTGCGAGGCTTGCATACATAAAGTCCTCTCTATACCCCATTTATGAAATTGCATTACATATGTTGTTATTGAATAAAAAAGTAAAAAAATAATAATTGAGTAAGAATAAGTTTTTATAAGTATGGGCAAACCCCCATTATGTTTCAATTATTTGTCTCATTTAGATTTGACACGAGTTTAAGAAAATAATTTTTAATTTTTTTTTATGATTTTAAATTAAAGATACATAAATATGCACCAAAATATTCTTAATTCTTGTGATGGTAAACATGTCATGTAAAAAATTGAAATTAAAAATTGTAATTAAAAACATAGATATTTTTTTATTACGAACTAAAAATTAATTAAGATAAATAAATTAAAATGGAGGAAATATTAAATATAAATTACTTATAAAAATAAGGATTAATTACCTAACTATACATCCTTTTTTTATCCTATTTTATATTATTCCCTACCATTTCAAAAAGTTACAAAAATCCAGTTTTCCATATTTCTCTCACTTCTTCATATACATCACTGTAATTCTGTAAACTATCACCCCACAAATTTTTTTCCTTTTTTCATGTGTAAGATCACGTATCATCAATTATCTCCATCACTCTACTTTTGAATTTCAAATCTTTTCTCTTTCTGATTTATCAATCGCAAGTTATAGAAGAAGTAGTTTATTCTTCATCTATTTTTTTCTTTCTACTTCATCAGGTATCGATTTTTTTAAAGCTTTTTCATCTACAAATTTAATCGAAGAAGGATGCTTATTCAACTTCAGAATCAATTGTGGAAAAAATGCCCAAGAAAAGGAGGAAAATGTCGAGTTGTTGGTGACTCCGGTAAGGGCTTTGGGTCGAGAGATCCATGGGTGACGCCATTGTTGAAAGTGGGAAAAAAAAACTATGGGAGTTGATACAGAGCAAAAGAGAAAGTGTAGAAGGATTTCTTCATCATTTTTTTTTTGCTTTCAACTAATCAGATTGTTGACTTTCTTTTCCGATTTCTTGTTGTTCATTTTTTTCTGATACATATGGGTTCAAATCTTTTAATGTATCTAGTTAATTTTGATTCTTAAATCAATGTATAATTCATTCGTTTTACCTTTATGATATATTACAATTTTATCATGTACAATATATCGTTTTCAAATATTAATTTTGATACATAACCCTAATTTATAGAAACACAAATTAGTATATATGTATCATGTTCATAGTTATGTATTGGATACACATTATAAATTTCGTTATCTTTTACTACCGATACATACTCCGGCCTTATTCAACTAGTAGAAGGCTATGTATCAATAGACACTATCAAATATTACTGTTGATACATAAACACTAATGTTTTATAACAAAATCAGATTGTATCATATTCATAGTTATGTATGTATATGACACATAACTTTGTTATGTATATAACATAGTTATGTATCAGATGTTGTGATGTTGTGATGTATCGCATGTTGTTAAGTATCTGCAACACTGTTTTATAAATAATCAGTGTATATCATATTCATAGTTTTTTGTTGTATATGATACATAACTATATAAAATTGTCAACTTTTAAAAAAATCTGATACGATTTGAGAGAAGAAAATTTGAAATTTGAATTGTTTGGAGTTGTTATTTGGGAGAGATTGACATCAATTTAATTTGTATGATTTGTGGAACTGACATTTAATTTTATATTTAATTTCCTTTTTAATTTCAACAAACTAGTTGTATAATGTATCAATTGTGATGTATCCGGAAGAATGAGATGTATTCGGATGACAATAATTTTAAGGAATTTTTGTAAATTGAAAAAAAATAGGGATATGATGTAATTTGCTCCTTACCCTATGAATTTTTAAATTTTTTACTAAAAATAAATATATTTGAATAGGTAGGTATTTCCATTTATCAGTTAGAAAATTTGAATTTTCATTCATGATAACCCCCTAAATTTCTATATATGTACACGTGCCCCGCCAAATTAACCGAAAACATTAATACGAATTTCCTTTTAAAAAAAATTTAAAAAAAATGTAAGGAGAATTCTAGAAAGAACTTCCATTTCTAGAACTACCTACTCTTCTCCAACACAAAATCGCAATTTCGCAGCGAATCGAAATCACACAAAAAAAAACTTGCAACAATGGCATATCCAGGAAAATCAGTTATCCAAACTCTAAAACGCTACTTGAAGAAGCCATGGGAGATCACAGGGCCTCAATCGAGTCCAGAATATGTATCTGCCGTACCAAAAGCTACAGAGTACAGAGTTACCTGCCCTGCTACAGCACAAGCTCAAGCTATAATCCCCAACTCAAATCCTGATATGGTATATGATATCAAGTACTTCTCTCGTGACCAGCGGCGTAATCGTCCTCCTATAAGGCGCACTATTCTTAAAAAAGCGGATGTTGAGAAGATGTTGAAGGAGAAGACATTTGATATTGATGATTTTCCGAAACCCTATTTAACTGCTAAAGTTGAGGAAGATGATAATGCTATTAGTGGTGGCTACCAGAAATGAAGGTACCTATATCAGATATCGCTTATTTAATCTTTCCTCTCATTCTGTCCGTCTCAATTTAAGTGTCTTATTTGGTCCATTATCATATTTAGTAGGCGTTTGATCATGTTTTATTGTAAAATTTGAATATCCATGGGTCATGATACTTTGTGTGGCATGATATTTAGTAAGTTTTTCAATTCCTGCATCCTATTTGCAAATTCAAGACACATGATTTAGGGAACTTTATACACATTTTAAATTTAAGACCATAAAATTCAAAAGTTTCGTTTATTTCTTGAACTTCGTATCAGGGTAAATTAAGACATTTAAATTGGAGCTGAGGTAGTAGTAGTTTTAGTGCATTTGTCTATTTATTCTGTTAGGTGTGCTTTCTTTGGGAAAAATGTTCTTCATGGAAGTATTTTTGGCGGGAGATCAGTGTTTGGTTGGATATATATAAAAGTGGGTTATATATCATATATGGTAATCCTACAAATTGTGGAATAAGGTATATATGAGGATGATGTTTTGGTGATAATTTTGATATTGAGGGTGGATAGCAAATGTAAAACTGGTTTGATTGAAGGAAGTAATGTGAAATATATTGGAATTGGGATATAGATATATAGGAAAATGACATGACATCTCTCGCCCATATGTGGTAGTAGCTTAGGGGAGTAACTAAATACTGGAAAAGTTCCGGGAAAAAATAAATAATTCTTGCCATGCCAAATGCACAATGGAATGATTAGGTGCTGGTTTTAAATCCGTGTATTCATTTCAGGAAGTTAGAACTTCTTGTTAGAGAGATTATTCAAATACTAGTCTTTGACAGGTAATGCATGGTTAGCTTTGAATAAGGAGTGGAGACAGATACACGATGTTGATTGATATTCTGATAGGAGAAAAAAAAGCTAGTAAGGAATCTGTTTCGTATTTGATCTTTGAACTGCAAATGAAATATCAAAGAAAGAATTTGGTGACTGTTATAGAGAAAGTCTGCCATATAAGATTGTACAAACATTACACTGAAGAGTAAAAAGCTAAAAAACTTAGAGGAAACGAATGCAATTCTAGTGAAAAAGGGATGCTTTTAGAACAACAGAGATAGCAGAATATATCCCAAATTGTCTATGTATTACATTGCCTTCAAGAGTTACCTTTTTTTTTTATATGAAGTAATATCATTAAAAGGCATCAAGAAAATGCAAATAGAACATAGTATAAAAGACTATGCTATAATTAGGAAGCTAATAAAATCCAAAAACTTCTCTGGGCAATTTAATTACAGGGGTTAGAAAGTTCCAACTGAAAAGACTTATAAGACAACTAGCCTACAAAATATGTGTTGGAGTTGAGATTCCATCAAAACATCTACGGTATCTTTCATTCCAAAGATGTCAGAAGATAGTAGCGGCACCCTAGATAGATTGTACTTCGTGGTTTACTCTTTCACATTATGATTTTGGTTCTACAGTAGATGGTGTGTACTTGCAAAATCTGTAACTAGTTGCCATTATTTACCAGTTAAGCTAATGAGTCATATCACAATCTTTTGCTGTTTGTTCGCTTACATATGTTCAATCTGGGATAGAGAGGACTGCGGTTCGAACTTCTAACTGTGAGAGAACTTTGGGGATTCCCCATGGTTCACAGAGGAAGTTTTTGTATGACCAAATTCTAGGAAGAAAGAAAACTAACACTAGAATCTAGAATTTCCTACATGTAAAACAGTATTCGGTATACAAGACAAAGTCATTGTAGATCTTTCATTCACAGTGAGAATTAACTTCACATTAGAGGAGTTAAGACTTTGTTGTAACATCTAGAATTGATGGCTTCCTATTTTCTACTAAATGAGATGATGTTTTTAGAAGTATCACAGAAAAATTACTGATCAAAGGATTTCTAGGAAGTTACTAGCGCTGAGGAAAGATCATAAAGGTGAAAATTTATTTGTCGATGGTTGCCCAAAAAAAGGGGCTGCAGGGACCATTCCTGAAGGATGAGGTAGCTAATATTTCTAAGCCCTATGAAGGAATTAAGTTTACTTAATGTTTCACTGTGGCCTTTTTTTCAGGAATGTTGGTGAATTATCATAGGATATATACGTAATGCTCTAAAGTAATTTTATTTTTTTATATGTTCAAGACTTCCAAAAGGGTTTCAATGCATCTTCCTTTATTGCTTTGACACAAAAAAATATGTGGAATAGAAGAAATGAGGGATTTCAAGCTATTATCCTCGATCGAGACAAGCATAAACTTTATTGGTAAGTTGAGACCAACATATGGGAAATCATTAGAAAACTGCTAACTACAGATCACTAATGTTATTTCAATTGTCAACAAATGCCTGGAAAGAATTGGGACCAGGCATGGTTTGAACTCGTAAACCGGTGGTTGGAAAAGCTTTTACCATGTAAGCATTTCCTATATCTTTTGGAAGTTAGACATGGGATGTGGCATCACCACATACAAATTCTCAATTCTAGTTAATGGTCATTCTTGCCTTCTCCGAGGGGATTGAGGTAAGCAGATCCCTTGTCACCCTTACTGTGATGGAGGGACCTCAGCAAGATGCTGGAATCTACTTTGAGGAGGAGATGGGATGATGATATAAGAGTTTTTGAAATAGACGGTGATCAAGAGAACATGTCACACATTTTTTATGCTGATGACACATTTATTTTTTGAGATGTGACTGAAGTATCTCAGACTCATTCTGTTGTTCTTTTTCTGGCTGCATTTGTATTGCATATAATTAACCAAAAAGTTCCGAAACACAGTCAATGAAGTTCTAAGCATACAATGACCGGCAAAGATTCTTGCTTGCAGAGATGAAAATAGGTGGGACTTTCTATGAGAAGGCCAGGGAGAAGAAAAAAACTTTCATTTGATAAAGTTCAAAAAAGCTACTATTAAAGAACAAATGGAGGGGGATTATAGGCATAAACTTGAATCACATTACAAATGCACCTGTATTGGGTAAAATTGGGTAGAGCGTGTGGTGCCTGTAGTATCTAGGGGAAGTGAGGAGTCGTCGACCAGGATAAGCTCCCGGAGGAAAGGAACTCACCGAAAACACGCAAAGGATGCATGTACAACCGAAGAGAATGGACCAGTGACTCTAAAATTCCATATCAGTAAATATATTTAATGAAAGAGTCATTTAAATTTATTGGGTAGCTTTGTAGGTGAAATACCGATGACTTTTGAATTATAATACAAAGAAAAGTGCCTTTTGTAAGAGAAATATCATCAGGTATTATTATCTCTTAATTACTTGTGACCCTTCTTTGATGCGCATTCCTCTAGGTTGTAGAAATGTAATTATGAATAACCCTTGTGAATTCGTGGAGTTTTCCGTGTTTATTCATTGAAGGAGATTATTTCGTATTAATTCTTAACTAATGGAATTCAATCCCTTTTCACCAGGCTCTAGTCGTGGCAAAATCGTCCTGCTGCAATAATGATGTTTTGCTCTATATATTATGTGATGCCTCTTGAAATAAATTGATACACAAACACGAATTAGTGGATATATATCCGTGTGTATTCTCTTGTGTGAATTGGTCAGAGTCGGTTGCTGCAAGCTTTCTGTTGCTTTGATTGTAGTACTGTTAATGGTTCTAGCACTAAATGATGTACCATTTGGAATTTATTTTTCTTTTTAATCTGTCTATGGCTAGAAGAGAATATATTGTTTTATACTATTCAGTAAGTTTTTCAATTTCAACATTCTATCGAATAAGATTCAAAAGTCAACTTTACTTTCAAATGGGTACGAAATCCATCAAATTCTTCTCAAGTTGGTGTGTCTTGTCGCAGTCCAATTCTTTTTTCTCCAATAAATGTGTGCCGTCTGTATATTCGTTTGGCGGTCGCGCATGCTCCATGTAACGCAATTTGAAAATGATCCAACTCATAAATCATATATATTTCACAAGTCTTTATTTTTATTTATTTATCATGAAATGTTACCTGTATATATTTAAAAGTAAAAATTAGGCAAATGACATAGTATAGGAAAGAAATTACTTCCTTTCCCTACTCTTTCATTAATTACCAAAAATCCCTTATTTGGTGTTTTCCGGATACATTATATAGGAGCGTTGATACTTTAATTTATAACGCGCTGATACTTAAATTAATAAGTTGTTGTTATCAGTTTAATGCGTTAAATAAGGGATTAAAAACTGAAATTATAATTGACTCCCACAAATCACGGTTACGTTTCTGCCTTCAACCAATCAATAGTTCATAATCGTCTAACTGAATCTTTTTTTTTAATTTCAAATCACGCTTATTTTTTACTTTTTTTAATCCTCTAACGTTCTCCCTGTTTTTCGAAAAAACAATAAAAGTTTTATCTCTCTCAAATTTGGAACGCTATTTTGTGAAGATTCGACATGAATATTTCGATCTTGTTAAGGCATTCTGGATCATGGGAAAGCGATGTTAGATACGAACGATACATAAGTGATGGTATAGTGGTTTGTGAAAATATTTCGTTTGTGAATCTTATTTCAGCAATTACAGCTGAATTGGGTATTGATGAATTCAAAAAAAACATTGAGGTCAGATACGTTGTTGAAGGAAATTCATCTCCATTGTGTATTCGGAATGATATGGGGGTGAAATTGTACATAGAAATTAAGAAACATGAGGTGGGATTCGGTATGTATCCTCTATGCATTGATACCTCCGATAAAAGTGATGAAGAGATACAAATTTTCGATGCAACAACAGGTGCAATCGTGTGTGTTGAGGGTGGAAAAAGCTAAATGTTACAAGAGACAAACTGTTGTTTGATACTAAAATATATTGCGATAAGCTGTTTTATACCTAGTGCATAACAGATTGTATCTAACAACTAAGTTATGTGATGTTTTATTTAGTATCATATACGTTCTAGTTCAAAATATATTTTGGATAAATTGTGTATCATATAAGTAATAATCATTTTGGATATTTTGTATCTGATACAGAATAGGATATTACCTTTATATCTTTATA